TTGTATATAAGACGTCTATGCCACTTTTGACTAATGTCGTTCAAATTTAAAAGCACCGAAACTCGATTTCTTTAGATTAATGTTCAGGGTTGTCAAAACTCAAATGAAAAATGAATGCCTAGTCTAAGATGCGGCGAAGCACTAAATAAATGCACACTATGAATATTACATCGTTCCACAAATATATTATTATACGATAATCTAACTAGTCGTCTCTGCAGGGTGAATCGTAAACTCATTTTTTTTCTTTGAACAAAAAAATTTAAATTGAGGAAAATCTATAGTTTTTGTTATTTCGTTGGCATTTGTATTCCGATTTATACAACCGTTGTTCGTTAAAAAATAAATAAAGCGTAATATAGAAAATACTCATTCATACTGCAGCTATATGCAAATACAATAACTATACATAAGAGGATGATTACTTGTCACAAAGTTGAACTCGAAAATACAAGTAATCTCAGATATTATCCGCACCAATAATATTTTAGAAAAAATCTTTTATTAATAATTACATCCAGAGGTCAGGAAGGACCATGCTATACAATACAATACTTTTGTTAATGCAGCGACCATATTAAAATGGCTAAATTATTTCAACTCTTGTATCATCAGATATCTGCACATTGTACATACATATAACAATAATAGAGTAACGATCGTCGTATGTAAAATATAAAAAATTCAAAGTGGAAAAGCAATTTGTTGCTGTACATTTAACTTATATCTAACTTTTGATTGCTCCTTTGATGGTAATAAATAATAATCAATACAATTGTGCACTTCATTAAAATATAGAAAAAATTATGAATTTTTGATTGAGATTTATTAAACGTCAAAAAGATCTGCAAAAAATATTAAAAATAATATGCCCATACAAAAATTACATCTAGAAGATGGCGTGATTAGAAATTCCCTTTGTGTTGGGATAAAAATAATAAATATTATTTTGAATAAAAATCAGTTGATCTCGTACCACCTCCGAAAAAATCCTTAAAACGCTTAGACTCTCTAAAAGAAACACAATATTACATATAGTTGATAATATTACATTTAATGTTTGTTATTTAAATGTATACAACAAAATCCAATACCCATATGCTTAATGCTTGTAGCTTACAGACTCAAAAACTACTAGACCGATTTTTACGATCGACGAAAGTTTAGATATTGTTCTTAGTGACACCAGGAAAGTTTAGAGAGTTGTTTGGACCAATTTCGAAAACATACCAAGTGTTATATTCAATCCCATTGCCCGTTTCGGTCGAATTAGTTTACAGAGCTATAGGTACATCGATGCCACTATTCCCATGAACTGAGGTAAACCGAGGTACACCGGTATAGCGCCGTATTTTATGTTTGTTCATTTATTCCCGGGTGACGTCCAGCAAGTACCTTATAAAAATATAGATTGAAATTGAAATCGTCCTGCTGGTCATTTTTTTGAAAATATCATCGATAATAGGTGTAACGGGGTCGAGGAACCTTTCATATCATATTATTATGTAGGTAATTCGGTGAGTGTTTTCAGAGCCCTTTGAACTGTATTTTAACCGTACCTCGGGAGCTTTCAGGAAAGATAGATCAAATATACTAAGTTCCAGTTAATATATGTCTTACCATTACACAGTTCTAAATTAAATATTTAAGGTGGCACGAGGAAAGACTTACGAATAATATATGGTCGTCCGGAGTTCGTTAGCTTGCTGCCTGCAGTTATTGTCTCAGAACTATCGAATTTCGTGTGGGCCTTAATGCCTTATACATATGTTAAAAGTTGCATATGTATATGTGTACCCGGATGACTATAATATGTCTATTATAGTAAGCCTTCTTCCTCATTATTCCCTAAAGTTATGTTTGAAATATTCCCTAGTTTGTAACAGTGTCACCAAAGAACAAATATATTACTCTTGATCCGTTGCCTTATGGCGGTATCTTCAGGATGACATTTTAATATATTTACGCGTACAGTCAACATTATTAATTCATTCAAACGAATCGCGTCGTTATATTGATAACGATTTCAGCGGTGAAAAAAGGCTTTGTGCACGTATCCATACCTCGTCGTCACCCCTTAATAATTACGTCCCTCCCATTTCTATAAAACCGGCATTTCGAAACAGCCGCGTTGACGAATAACACCGCGTGACATATAAATTATAATGCAATGCAATTTCGGCATACCTTTAACTATATTAATAAGTCTCAAACGATTTGTATGCGTTGCGCGTCCTCTTATGTATATAGGTAGGACATACACCACCAGGCCTTTAACAACAAGCGTTTCGTCTGGGGTGAAATATTCAAATTTAATGGGCTGCAGAGTTTAATTTTTTTCGTCGAAAAATCTCCGCATAATATTTTGCATTTACATAAAGTAATAAAGTAAATATTATATGGGTTCAACTCCTGTGCGTGCGTTGCCTTCATGGCAGGTGGTGGTGACGAGGCTCGCGGGGGGTGGGTTCCATGACACATCATCACGTTGGTGGGTGGGTAGGTGTATTATAATACCTCATATATTACTTAGCTTTTCGTTCGAGACGTACACTACTCGTCACAGAATATTTTACGCGTCGCACGAACAATTTATCACATTATTAAGGTTACTCGTTCGCGTGCCACCCATTCGATGATCGTGTTTGCAGGAAAAATGAAAAATCTCGTTTCCGTCGTATTTGGAATTTTTACGCCTCCTCAGGGCATTGGGCATAGGTAGGCACCTACATAACTTTTATACGCCACCCCTAAATATCAATATTATACTTATACTTATATTTCGACGGAGATCGATGGGACCCAAGGGAGTGAAGATTCTTCAAAAATCCTTGTACACAGTGTACACAGACATTTCTTATATTGCAATGTAATATGTCAATATTATATTATATTATACGATGGTGAACTAATTGACCGAAACCATTTAATACCTTAAAAGATTTTCCTGGATAAGTTTTATTAGGAAATTAAAAATATATAACATCTTTTTTCTCTCTTATAAGTTATAGTCTATAGATTTATATAGGTGGGACAAAATATGGCGGTAGTGTTAAAATATTTTCCCAACAGAGAATTCAGACATCATCATAATAATAAGTTATTTTACCTACATTATTTGTTCATCCCTTCCTGGTGCTCCTACCCCTAAATAATTGGTCTGATAGCCAGTGACGGATTCAACAGAGCAACATATATGTACGACTGGCCCCTTGTCCGTGTGAGCTCCTGAACTTGACCCAACTCAAGTTTTTGTTTAAATTATATTATGTCAATAACAGGATGGAAAGTGATACGATCTGATAATTTCAGAAATAATTTGTCATGTACCTACTCATGTGTAATAAAATATAACTATATCTCACACACGTACCCATGCGGGTACAATATCTATGTACATGATGTATTTATTTTCAAAGTGGGTGGTAATATACTGGTTACTACCATCTTGGATGGTAAATATTACAAATGTCTGAAATGATTAGCAACAAGACCAGAACACAGGAAGGACCTTTACAACCAAGTATACCTTTAATATTTATACATTTTTTTTATTTATCTTACAATGTTGTTTTCTAAAAGTTTTCTTTCAATATGAATAATATTTACCTTAAAATACAACTTCATAGTTACATTAATTATGGATTTTAAAATACCTACCCATTGGCATAACCATAATTTTTTTTCTGGGTAAGCCGGAAAAACTGATTTATATTTCGATTAAAGAGTACATTTTATTTTTAAACATAAAGTGAAAATAATTAATTTTATGTCACGAAATCAAATTAACTTCCAAAACTTGGATAAAATTATAAAATATTATAAATAAAAACCACATTATTTAAAAAAAAAAAGTTTATAAAGTAAAATATTTTCAAAGAGGAAATTCTAATTTTATTTCATTTGTCGAAACAAATTCGTCGAAAACAGCAGATATAATGTTAAATAATGTATGATTGATACAATATTATAAATTGTTCGTTGTATTATAAAATTAGGCACTGAGCGTACTTAATTAATCCCGAATATAGTTAATTTGTATATAATTTAATGATAATTACCTGCATAATATATTTATTAAAAAAAACAAAACATGTTGCCCCTTAACCACGCAGAGTCATTATTTAACTGGACCCTTTGTATAGTGTTTTTAGAGGACTGGGCCTTTTTCCTTATATCTGCCACTGTTGACTGCTGCTACTACGCATTTACTTATCCAACCAACTATATAGATATTATTATTATTATTATTTTTGCAATAAATTCTTGTGTTTATAGGTACACTCGATAATTTATTATAATAATTATTCATGACGAGCTCGCGTATCTGCATACCTACCTATAATACAAATTTACAATATATATGTATAAATATATAATAAACGTCTTTTTCGGCGATTCTATTATACAAGCATGGAGGGTGATGATGCGGTGTGTGAGGTAAGGGGGAATTTTATTTTTTCTGCCGTCGCCGTTGTTTGCCGGTCCGAAAAGACGAAACGACCGGTCGTCGTTCGTCGTCGTCGCCACCGCCGCCGCAGCATCGGAGCGAAGAAATCCAACGACGGGGAAAAAAAATAGTTAGGAAAAAGTGAAATAACGACCGACAGAGAGAAAAGGATAGAGAGACAGAGAGAGAGAGAGAGAGAGAGAGAGAGAGAGAGAGAGAGAGAGAGAAAATGACAAGAGGTGAGAAGAGGATAGAGTGGGTAGGGATAGAGCAAGTGAGTGAGATGCCGAGAGACGAATAGATAGAGATCGAGCTAGGTGGTGGCGTGTAAGTATACGCGGGACGTGGAGAGAAAAAATAATAATAATAGTAATAAACCGTCCGACGACGACGACGACGACGACACACGGTGTTCCGTACACGGGATTAGGTGGGACCGCCGAGGCGCGCCTGGAGCGCATTAAATCAATATGGAGCCTGCGAGCGGCGGCGGCGGCGGCGGAGGCGGCTGCTGCCCCTTATAGCCCCGCACGGCGTGCGCGCCGCCGTTCAGTGTACGTCCGCCAGTCGTCCAGCGCAAGACTACCGCCGCTGCAGCCGCTTGTTCACCCCGCTTACTACACACGCTCACCATACGTACGATCACGCGCGCACTCCCTCGCTCGCTCGATCCTTCACACTCGCTCGCTCACTCGCACACGCGCGCGCAACACGCCCGGCCGCCGACTGCTCTCTGACGCGCATGACGAAATAAATAATAAACAATAATACCAGCGCCGCCGCCGCCGCCGCCGCCGATCACGACTCGCGTACATTATTGTACCGTAGAACAGCGTACCGTCGTTAAGTTTGTATTATACTCCCGACGCAGGCACCACACACGCTCCGCGTACGCAGTCCGCCGCCGTACCGCTCGACGACCGACGTATACCGCTCCACGTCTCTTCTGCACACGCGTTTCCCACCGACAGTTTTCCACACACACACATCAAGGTACGTGTCCATATATTTTTTATAATACCACGATAGTATTAATTGTTTTTCAATATCAGTGGCGTGCGATAATATTATAATATCATAATGTCGAAAACACAAAAATGTGACAACTTTTTTTGCAATCTATTAGTATTATACGACACAGTACAAAACTTATATTTTATACAGGATGATCGTCCTTAATAACTGTCCGTCTTGCCACGAGCTAAAAATCCTTCAGCACGCCACTTCACTGCTATAACTCATAACATATAAGCGTTATTATTAATTTGAGATTGATATTACAATATGAATAAACATAATATGGGAACATGATGATTATTATTATTATAGACGATAGTAACGATATTATACTACAGTGGCGCACACATTAGGGGTGGGTTAAGGGGCTCACAACCCCCCCTCCGAAATGGCTTCCTCCTCGAAAACGTATTACTATATAAAAAACGCTCTTCTCCGCTATACATATATTTGATATGATAACTGCAGTAGTGTAGTTATGTAATTTCGAGAAAATCATTATCAGCAGTACAACCCCAAGGGGTTAAAATCCCCAAATTCTTCCCAAGGGAAGAAAATCCTGTGCGTTCGCTATTGAAGTGATATAATATTACGATATTAATTTGTTATATTATTACCATCGTAACGATATGGTCGTTGAGCACTTTTTCTCGTATATCTGTAAAACCCTCCGCGACGGGGGTGCTGCAGGTGCAGCAGCTTGTGAACGGGCTTGCATCCAAACCGATGGACATAAGACATTTTTGACAGGTAGGTGGGTAGGTAGGTTCGTACGTGGTGGTGCACCCTCGATGTTTAAAACCTCCGGATGCTGCAGCCGAATCACGCACACCTTTACACGGTGTGACATTTACAAAGAATTTATTTAACCCCTTCGGCATGTCCCTGCTCCCTGCGATGATACAGTGTTAACCGTGTACGAAGAAAATTTAACCAATGCACCGTCGCTGTGTGTATATTATATTATTTTATTCGCCGTCACGCACCGATCAGACTTTGTGCGAGCTAGTGTTTTTCCTCGATAGATATATATATTATATTATATACCTATACACACTGTACATTTTATCGAATAGAGATAATATGCGCGTCGGCCGAGTAGCATATTATATAATAATATTATAATATATCTTTCAATAAAATACACTGCAACGTGTGTGTAGTAGTTGATAATCGCACGTTATACTATATATAGTATATCGAATATAATTATAATATTATATTATATTATATTATATTACACGCACTTCAACCATCATAATATAAGCTTTGCATTTATTTATTTTTTTAATTTTACTTCATAATATATTATACAACATAACAGCGGTAGTCTAATTAAGGGGAAAAAGTCCGTTCGTGTATAGAGTATAGAGAGATAAAGTGGCGTTTTATCACCGTCCGAAACGATAATAATTTATAATAATATTATAACGTTTGTATAAATAAAACGTCGAGGTTAAACGGCAATGCGATTGTACCTGCTGTACGGAGGTCTACACACATAGTGTAATATTATTTAGAATTTAGATCATAATAATATCCAAACGCTATCGGCGACGATGACGTGATGTCTAAAACATCGCCATTTGTTTCGCTGCTCTTAGAACGCCACAAATTATGTATATTGACTAAACATACGTTTTTATAATATAATAATATATAATACAAGTTCTAAGTGTAACCCCCACCACAGCGATAATTTTTTTAAGGGGGTGGTTAATGTTTTATATATTTTAATTCTTAAAATCATTAAATTTATATGTTATATTTGAATACGGGGGAGGGCTCCACATTGCACTCCGTATGACTGTAGTTATAATAATATTACTACAGTTATCATAATATTAATAATATCAAATACCTATGTAATAGAACCACGCATATGACAACATATTATTTTGTAGAAATCTGAATCGTATGGTACAAATATTTTTTGCATAAATACAGCCGCGTGGGAGGAGTGTTTCAACACCCCCAAAAACACCCCCTAGCTACGTCACTCCCTATAGCCGTAGGTAATAGGTTTTCTGCACGTTGGCGAAAACATAATAATAATAATTATGTCTTCTCCTGATTAAAATTATTCTATTCTAAAATATTTACACGCTCCGATGACGACGATGACTTTGCCTAGGTCGTATTAAATAACCGTCACAACAATATTATCGTTAACGTCAAGATTCGGCCACGGTGTTAATTTTTTGCGTACACAGTTTAGGTATGGTCGATATTCTGTAAATCGAGGGAGTGAAAAAGCGTATAAACGTATAAATATATCGCGGTTTATCTGCTGCTCCGAGGTTGAGTGTATTACGACGATAAAATAATAATAATTTAACATACGCATATACCAATATATCGTAGGTAGGAGGTGCTTGCCAAACGATCAGCTCCGGCCGCGGAGAGTATACGATTTATAGTCGAAAAAAAATAATCATCAGATCGCATCGAGACACGGGATAAAAAAAAAAAAATAATAACCCGTATTTAATTAGTAGCCGCACCCATAAAACATTATACAAAGGAACTTCGAAATAATATATTATATCGTCGGTGGTTTGGCAAGTATAAAATATATCAAATTGTATATATACCGTCATCATAATGCGTCCGGACGATGGTATATTATTATTATCGAGATGCCAACAAGGATCACGATAGTGTGCGCTCTTATTATTTTGCGGCATTTTCCGCATACACTTCCACACTCATGATATTTTAATTTCGGATATCCACCATAATATACATATACGCCCCGGAAAGTTGTCCAAATCTGTTTTGTTTTGTCATGTCCCCGGTGCAGACGACATGATGGCCGAGTGCATCGTATTTATAGGAGAAAAGTACAGGAGAAAAAACTCCCTCGCACACTGCAACTATATATACTGCTGCTGTAACGCTATAAAATTATGTTATTATTATTATATTAATATCATCCACGTGTGAATATCGAGACCGACGTTGTATAATATGTATCACACAGCACAGGATCGCCGGAGTAAAAACGGTCCGAATAAATGTGTCGCATATGTTTTACTCTGTATATTAACAGGGTGATTCACCGAGCACTACCGAACACTTTTTCTTCGGCTATGCGACAGTTAACTGAAATCTGATTTTTGAAATCTTCAAAATATATACTTGAATACTATATTTTCAAATTTTTGAGATTTTTTCCAAACTCGAGGAGTGTCCTGCGGAGTGTAAGACATCTGATTCTTTTCATACGAAAATCGCCATTAATTGGGTGGATAGATTTTTCAGAAAACATTGACGAATCAAAATCATCATCCTTCATGAATACGAAAAATCCTACGAATTCGAAAAATCGGAGTACGAATACATGAATTATATTAAAGGAAAAATAGGGCTGAGCGTGTTTTGTGAACCATCCTGTACATAATATTATGTAGACTTCAGCCATATACGCACTCGGTACACAATATAATAAATATATATTATACGACATGTGTGCCCTGCGACGTTTGCGACCGTCGATATAATGACATTGTACATTATTATTATGTTATTATATTATATATATGTGTGCCACGTCCGCTGCAGCATCTGTTTGGTTCGGTTCCTGGTGGAAATATATATAACACAACAACAACAGTAATAGTAATAGTATAACGATCATGCATCGGAAGTTATGGCACTAAAAAATGTTACTTTATAGCGCTTTAATATGCATTTTAAGTGCACTTAAAAACGCCAAAAATACGCCCTATAAATGAGATTAAAAATTGAAAAATATAAAAAATTCAACTTTAAAAAAAACATTCCAATTACTTTTATTCTTTAAAATACTTTTTTTATCATAATTTATGTATATTAATAAAATGGTACAATAGGTAATAAGGTACTCACTACTCAGGTATTAGGTACCGGCTGTTTCTTTAGTGCACTTATGCTTAAAATGTTAACATAAAACTATTTAAAGATTTTTATACAACATTAGCTCAACATCAACGTGACTGGGGCGTACTTGAAAAATACCAATTCATCGCAATTTAAATCTTCGGGAAGACCGTCTGAATCTGAAGACATTTTTTTTCCAGTTGTAAAAAAACTTATTAATTTCAATGTACACGAACGTTTCCGATAAATGTCTGATTATATTCCAATTCTAATTTTAGACGTTCTCGGTGAGCGAATATAAAAAAATATTCAATAAAATGTGGTTTATTTGTGAGATACAGTATACTTACCTGAAAATAGCAAAAATTAGCAAAATTAAATTTCTTATACGACTTTGTATATCTGCAGGGAAGCGTGAAACAAATTTGTATCACACTATGTACTTATAACAAAAACAATTTGATTTCGCTATTGTTGAACTTCCGAGGCCTACAGATTTAATGATATTTACGATTCGCACAAATGTAATATTATATGCTTGTCGCGCTCACGTGATAGGTCGAAATCTTGCAGTTCCTACCCCCTTCGTGATGGCGACATAGGAGGACGTCTTTTACTCGGAGGTATATATATATATACACGATACAGAGTCTCGACGTTCCTACAACCGCAAGTAATCGAAAAAAAAACCAACATAAATAACGACTTCTGCCGATCGCAATCGTCCGCTAAAGGCAAACCGAGATGCGCAATATTCACATATGCCAACGTATATACGTCATTATCACACGGCTTTGGTACGACTCGTCGCAGACAACGTAACAGTCGCGACGTAATATTATGTTATATTATACTCGCGCTTATTATATATAGGTATACCGTTATTTGCGAGCGACGGCAGTCGTGCCTGTTATGTACACACAAAGAGACCGTGCTCCGGCTATGGGAAGTTCCGAGAAACGACTTACCGGCGTATACCAGCTCATCGGTATAATATACCAGAGGAGAAGAAAAATCTGCACACGGACGCCGACTCGGAACCTGCAGCAGCACGCGGAGTTCAACGGTCGACCGATGCGAGCACACACACGCGCACACACATCCAGCGAGTTGAG